TCCTCCTCCTCCTCCTCCTCCTCCTCCTCCTCCTCCTCCTCCTCCTCTTCTTCTTCTCTCTCCCTTTCCCTCTCCCTCTCCCTCTCCCTCTTTCTCTCTCCCTTTCTGCTTCCTAGCAGCCATGAACTGAGCAACTTTCCTCTACCATATTCTTCCTCATGAGATTCTTCCTAGTCTCAGCTCAGGTCCAAAGCAATGCAGCCAGCTGGCCATGGACAGAAATCTCTGAAACTGTGAGCCAAAATAAATTATCTTTTTATAAGTTGTTTTTCTCAGGTGTTTTGTTACAATGATGGAAATATGACTACCAATCAATGATAACTGAGAATCATAACAGACAGGTCCAGTAAAAATACTCAGATGCACACACACATGCATACTCAGATAGGAGAGGAAAAAGAAAGAGACTAAAAAACAAACAAACACTGCCAAAATGAAGAAAAATTCTGGCACCAAAGTAACCAAAGATGTTTTATGGTGGTGGAATCCCAGGTACCTCTATATTATCAAACAGCACTCCTATGGACTCCTCTGCTCTCTCCCAACATAGGATTAATGAAGGATCAAGTACATGCAAAATGTCTACTACACCTACTGATGAGAAGTATTCCAAAGCCTTCTGTGCAGGACCATGGTACATTAATTTTCCTGAAGCCAAGATGGCGAGGCTGTCAAACAGCTTGAAGATGAAATAGTGAGGTCTATGAATAGAGAAGATAACCATTCGTCCCTGCTGAGAAATCCTAAGTTAAAAGGGAAAACAATGAATCATTAAACATCTGAACCATGAACTTCTTGGTAAAATATTTTATTCTTGGTATTAGACCATTTGTTCCCATTTCAATTTGATTTTCTCTTACGGAGTTCTCATCTCATTTTATATTATCTACATGATTACTGGGGAAATGAAATTCAATATTTTTATTAAAAACACTAGTATGTCTTAAAGGATTGTGAATGAACAGTCTGGAATCTACTATGAAGATTCCTGGATAGTCTTCCCAGACTTTGAATTAAGTTCTAGGGGTGGCTACAAGGAGTAATTTTTTTTTTTTTTGTACCAGGGATTGAATCCAGGGTGATTAACCACTTACCCTTCTTTTATTTTGTATTTAGAGACAGGGACTTATTAAGTTGTTTTGGGCCTTGCTAAGTTGCTGAGGCTGATTTTGAACTTGTTATCCTCCTGCTTCAGCCACCTGAGATGCTGGGATTACAGGCATGGGCCACTACACCTGGCAGGAGTCCATATTTTTAAGAAGCATCCCAGGTAATCTGGAAGTACACTTGAGTTTGAGAACTAGTTATAGAGTAAATATTTTAAAAATTGTCATATGGTAAATTCTCCTTGATCATTTATATCTTTTAGGATTAATTTTCATTCTTCTAACCTGATAAAACAATTAACATTACTAAGTACATACTATGTGTTTGCTAAATGCTTTAGAAATAGCCATGTTTTGATGTTCACAATATAGTTAAAAGGCAGTTCCAATATAATTATTTTCTTCTTTTTACATTTCAGGCTTAAAGTTCAAGTAGATGATCAAATGGTCATCAAATACTAGGGAGAAAATTTTGAATTTGATTTCTAGTTTAATTCTACAGTATAAGCAGTGCTAAACTTCCTTTTCAAAGAAGTTATAGCTTATGGGTAGAAGACACAATGACAAAATCACTGTTAAAAAACTATATTTAAAATACTTTAGGGACTGGGCATGGAGGTACATGCTTTTAATCCTAGGTATGCAGGAGGGTAAGGATGGAGGATTGCAAATTTGAGTCAAACCTGGGAAATTGAGTGAGATCCTGTCTTAAAAAAGAAAAAAGAAAACAAAAATTAAAAGAACTGGAGATATAGTTCAGTGGTAGAGCACCCCAAGTTTCAAACTTTAGTACTGAAAAAAAAAATATAAGACAAGACAGCTTGAATATGCATACTTAAGAAGCCCCTAGTATATGCTAACTGTGTGTGGAAAGATGCTTTGCCTCAAAGATAATCAGTCCAGTAGACCAATAATTTCAGTACAATGGGAAATAGAATTAGATGAGGGTTCTATTTAAGCAAAATAGGAGACTTGAAACCCATTATGAAGATAATACTAGTAAAACATCAAAAGTTCCAACAGGAGTGAGCTAAAAAGAGAAGACAACTCATTCTTGAAGAACAAAATAAACAAAGCATGAAATTAAAAAAAAAAATGTTTATTTTGGAAACTAAAAGAAGCTGTTTTTTTCAAAGCAGGACTTGTGTGTGTGTGTGTGTGTGCGCGTGTGTGTTTGAGACTGAGATATTAGATGTTGGATGAAGAAAATAACTAAAGAGATCACAAAAAAAGGGACGATTAAATCTTCACTCAAAAAACACAACTGTAGCCAACAGGTATTAGGGAGCTAGACTAGAAGCAGGAAGCATAATTGTATGACAGCCCTGCTTCCCAAAATTTTGTCTGAGGACCAGTGGCAACGTTATCAGAATCCCCTGTTTGATTCTCCTGTGGAGAATTTTAGGCTCTATCTCAGACTAAAGAAATAGAATATGCATTATAACTAGATCATTGATGATAAGAATACACATAAGTCATTTTGAATGACCAATTATAGCTCCCTGCAGTAGGCAGCATGCTTGCATGCTATGTAGTGCAAAGCATAAAGAAAGCAGTTATATATTTTGTATCAATCCATCATTTGCTAATAAACATCATTAACATATTTCTAAATAATAAAAATATCTTGGGTATATTCTGAAATGCTACCAGAAGGCTAGACCCATAACTTGGCATCTACACTTTTATGTGGACTTTATATTTCAAAATTAAGATGTTTAATTATCCATCTTTGCACCTTCCTGTTTCTTCTCTGCTAGCACACAACCTTGCTTATGGGGGCATGGGCACCAAAGGAAGTGACATAGTGATAGAGAGGGTGAGCCATGAAGGTGGTGTGTCTGGCAGCTTAATATATGAGGCAGAGGGGTTCCAGAGGTAGTAGACCAAAGCAACTGGGAGACTGATTGCATTAAACAATTAAATTACTTAACTGAGAAAATAAGCAAATATATTGAGATAACGGGCCATATCTCTCACTGTCTAAAGTGACTTGCAAAGTTTGAAAGGACAAAATTTAAAATAACACTGAAGGGGGCTAGGGCTGTAGCTCTGTGGCAGAGCACGTGCCCAGCATGAGTGAGGCACTGGGTTTGATCCTTAGCACCACATAAAAATAAACAAATAAAATAAAGTATAGCTGTCCATCTACAACTAAAAAAATATTTTAAAATACACTGAATTGTTAGATTGGAATTAGGAATATTATTATGAATTCATGGGATTTTAATGATAACATTAATTGCTAAAAGAAATGTCAACATTTGCAGATGTATGTTTATTTGTGACTATCAGAAATTTACATGTAGGTGTTGGTAATGTTGCTCAGTGGTAGTTTGGGTACATACAATGTGCAAATCACACAGACACTCATAAATGCACATGTAAGTATATTTATAATTATTATCTGAACAAATAAAATATAGAATCAGATTTCTACATTATATGTGTGCACACACACACACTTACACATGTATATTTCCTAGATTTGTCTACTAAAGCCAATGCCACTAGAAGCTAAGCCACTCCAATAATAGTAAGTGCACTAAGCAACTAGATCTTGGTTTCTAACCAAGGGCTCCTTCTACAAATGGCTGGTATAGTACAACATGAGCATGGAACATCATAATGACCACAAAGAAAATAAATGTTGGACAAATGATTAGGGAGAAGTCAAAGGAACTCAAAAGCCACATTGAATGAACTCTAAGAGACCCAATCAGGATCAACTTGATCAATAAAACAAGGAGTAATAGAGATTCCAACTCACTAAATCATATGGGAAATGAATAGGGAAAAAGAAACATCTTTTTCTTAGATACACTGTAAACAATTACATGTTAGGCAGCTACCACAAGAGCAGGAGATTTGGGTGCATCTAAAATTGGTGGGGGACATTTGATGAGGAACAGAATTTGGCATAATAGCCTATTTTATTTCCCAATAATATACTAATCTATTCAAGTGTGGGGAAAATAGTAATTTATCAGAAGAGAAGTCCAGCAGACACCAATGTGATCAGATGATGGAGGTGTACACCAGCTGTGGTGGGTGAAGCTCAGGTGTGTTATACTGGAAACTCAGCATGGTTTCATGCCTGAGTCAGCCTAAGCAACTGTGATAGACCATCTGAAGGTCACTCATGAAATGTCCTAACTCAACCACATGAGAGCCAGAGAAAGACTGAGCATCTTTTCCAGATTAGAGGATAAAAAATGAAACATCCAGGAAATATGTGTTTCTTCAGAATCCTGAGAGAGAAAGAAAGCAGGGTGAGCTTGTGACATCTGACTGGAGTTGAAGGACTCAATGATTGTGAAGCTGTTATTGTTATGTTCCTCACTGGAAAGTTGACATGGTGCAGCATCTTTATATCTTGGAGTTTAAACTAAGGAGTATTCAGTTGTAATGGAGGATGATGTAAAGTAAAACAAAAATCTATGTAATAGTGATCAGAGACATGGAGGACAAGAAAATGCCATAAAATGTAACAATTGGAGAGTCTAGGAGAGAAGAGTGGATTTTATTTGTAATATACTTAGAGCCATCTTATAATTTTGAAATTATTTTTTATACTTTCAAATAAGTTTAAAAGTTAACTTTTGAAATGTTGTTTCCTATAAGCTTTCCTGTCAGAGTCTTGCATTATTTTTCTTTTTGTTTTGGGAATTGAATTCAAGGGCACTTAACCAATGAGCCACATTCCTACTCCCTCTTTATATTTTATTTAGAGACAGGTCTTGCTAAGTTGCTTAGAGCCTCACTAAATTGCTGAGGCTGGCTTTGAACTCATGACCCTCCTGCTTCAGCATCCAAGCTATTGGGATTACAGACATATGCCACCATGCCCAGCTCCACAGTTTTCACTTCTTAAGAAAAACTAGTGTCATTTCTTCTGCTTCATTCTTCCTCTTAATCAGGCCCCAAATCTCAGGCATCATTCTCTCAATTCTCAAAGCCCAGGTCCACTTCCCAAACTGATTGTTTTTTTCCAGCCTGAAACAGATTCAGAACCTGTGCTCCTCTCACCACTGCAGCATGAGCACCTTAGTCCAGACCCCATCCTACCTCAACAATTCCTACTTAGAGTCCTTCACTCATCCTATCCTAACCTCACAGCCTTCCCTATTGCCATTGCCCTGCTCTGATATGCTCAAAATGTTTCCATGAGTCTTCTGTGTTAAGTGCAAGGTAATCAAACTAGATTTAAATGTGTCTGTTTTCCAAAATCAGATTCTCAGTAACCAATCATAAGAGCTCTATATTACCCGAGTTGCATTACAAGGAAGGCCCCTCTGTTTAACCCCTTAAGGAAAGTAACTTTCTAATAATCTATCTGCTATATGCTCTCTTCTTTCTTCTGCCCTTTTCTTCCTATAAAGCCAACCCCCTTTGCTCAGTTCATTGAGCATTCATTGTTCCCAATTCTAGAATGGCAAATGAAAGCTTATTGTATCTTTAATAAGACAAAAAATGACCCCATGTCCCTAGCAAAAAAAAATAGAAAGCCATATATTTAATACTGGCCTAGGAGAGCTAGGCCAGCCCAATTTCATCTCACATCATTTCTAACTGTGAGTGGCTGAATTCTGGCTTTTCCAAAACTCTCATACTATAATCCTAACCCCCTGTATCTCAGAATGTGGCTACTTTTAGAGATAAGAGTCTTCAAATTGGTCATTACGATTGCATGAGAACCTTGAACGTCCTCATCTCATTGGTGTCCAGTTAAGAGGAGATTAGAAACAGGCACAGAGGGAGAAGATGGTCATCTACAAGCCAATAAGAGAGGCCTTGGAAGAAACAACCTTGTGGAATATCTTGATATCAACTTTCAGCCTCCAGAGCTAGAAGAAAATTAATTTCTGTTGTTTGCCTCCAGTCTGTTGTATTTTGTTTTTAACACCAAAATCACCCAGTTTCCTCTCCTCTTCTCTACTAGGTTCTGTCTCTGTGGTCTCTCTGATGTTCCACACACACCAGGAATGCTCTTGCTCAGGGCTACTGGCTGCTCCTTCCACCCAGAACTCTTTTCTGCAGATACATCAGGTCTCACTCCATCTCACCCATCATATGCTTGTGATCTTCCCTGACCCTCCTGCTATTTAAAACAGCTTCCCAACCCCATTACTACTTTCCTTCCCTACACACTTGTTTCATCAATCTCGATAACATTTCTTTGTTTGTTTATAATTTCCCTGAAACAAAGAAGTGAGAACGCCTGCTGATGTATTCTGAATTCCCTGAACCAAGAATATCTGGTAAACAGAAGTAATCATATATTGAACAAATGAAAGAACTATGTTCCCATAGCCTTTACCTTTTCCGGAGCAAAATAACAGCATTTGTAGTGATCAACTCTAAACCAATTGTTGGTTTATCCAAGAACAAGATGGGAGGATCTGTGATCAGCTCCATTGCTATCCTGGTCCTTTTTCTTTCTCCCCTAGATAAAACCTAAAACACAGATTATTACATTATCAACAAGAATGGCACAGTCACTATGATTGTTGAACAGTCCTGACAGAAAAACTTTATCTCATTGTCCTAATTATTGTGAGCAACAAATAGATGAACACGGGGGAGAAGAAAGAAGTTTCTCTTAAAAGTGAATAAACTGAGGGTCAGAGCAGAGCTGCTAAGTAAGTGCCGAGACTGGCTGTGAAGCCCATGCTTTGAACAGTCCTGCATGTTTTTAAGTATATTTAGGTTTAAGATAGTCCATTAGAACATGAAGAGTCATTGCCCTGACATAGTGAAATTATAGCCTAAAATGGGAGAGAAAGATAGGAGAGGAAAAGGGGAAAACTTTATGGTGATTTATTAGACTTCTAACAACCTCCCTCACTGTTTTCACCAAAAGTCCCCAAGTGGACTTACCAAAAATAGGAACATTTAGAGCCAGGAAAAGTTCACTATCTACCATACAACAGTGACACCTTTTCAGTTTCTATAAGGTTTTCCAGACTGACATTTACCATGCCCTAACTGAATACAGAATTTCTACTTTACCTTTTCAGACTTAAAAGAAGACAGGTTACTCAACAGGGCAATGGACTCATTCATTTGAATGAGTCAATGTCATTCTGTGTGTGAGAAGAGAAAGAAGGTTTTAGGTAGGCAGAAATTTAGAAGCAATTATGAAATTCAGAGTTCCCAAAGACTCCCTTAACAGGATTCAAACAAAGGTCCTATTGACAATTGAAATATAAAAGACATTTGGACACAAATTGGAAAATGAGTCCAAATTAATATGAACTCTATATAGATGATGGTGTAAATACATTACTCATTGTGTTAGTCGATAATGGTATTAAAAAAGGAAGGCAATGTTGTTGTTTGTTCTAGGTGCATAACAAGTATTCATAGGTAAAATATTATATATATATATATATATATATAGGTATATTATATAAAATATATATGTATATTTCTATAAAATACTTCAGTAAGAGATCGCTATAGTAAGGAAGAAGATATTAACAACTGAGAAATCTAATAGAATTATGAATTTACTCTTCTATTAATGACTCAACAATCACATTATAGTAATCAAACTATCTTTTCTTTTCTTAATTAACTTTTTAAATTTATATATGATACCAGAATGCATTACAATTCTTATTACACATATAGAGCACAATTTTTCATATCTCTGGTTATATACAAAGTATATTCACACCAATTTGTGTCTTCATAATGTACTTTAGATAATAATGTCCATCACATTCCACCATCATTTCAAACCTCATGCCCCCTCCCTTCCCCTCGCACCCCTCTGCCCTATCTAGAGTTTTTCTATTCCTCCCATGCTTCCCCTCCCTACCCCACTATGAATCAGCCTCCTTATATCAGATAAAACATTTGGCTTTTGGTTTTTGGGGATTGACTAACTTCACATAGCATTATCTTCTCTAACTCCATCTATTTACCTGAAAATGCCAAAAGTAAAAAAAAAAAATGAATTATTGAATTCAATTAGATTATTTGAATATAGGCAGTCAGTGACTGCCTCTGTATATTTTTCCAGCAAATATAAGCAAGAAATTTAGGGTAGTGATTGCTTAATGTTAAAGAATAGAATAGAATCCCACAGAAGAAACTCAAAGTCAAATCAATAAACATACAAAAAGCAAAGACAACTCTATCACACCGTACACAAAAAATAAAAGATAAATAGTGGCATCCTAGGGTTACTCTTCCATAACAAATATATTTCACATGCAAGAATATCCACAAGTACTATAGGAAACATCAGCCAGTAGAACCCCAACTTTCATTGCTTCTAAGTCTGGGAGTTCTTAAGGAGGTGAACCATTTACAGTCTAAGTAGTTCATTATCACACACAGCTTGAAATGTCTGCTCAGCAATCCCTGCCTACAGACTGTTCAACTGTTCAATAGTGAGTGTTAAGTTGATGCATTCCACTCAATTTTTTTCTCTGATCCCTAAGTAGGCATTAACTCTTTGTCACACTTCACTCTTTGTCACACTTGTTCACAACTGTACCTCTCAAACCTAAAGAAGCCTGGAATATAGATCAGGAAATAAGGACTGGCAAAGGAAAGGAAAGAAAGGAGAGAGTGAGGTGGGGATAAGAAAACTGACAAAGAAAGGCTCCAAGATATCTTGGTGACTATATGAATTAAAAGTAAATTATAGGGTTGGGGATGTGGCTCAAGCGGTAGCGCGCTCACCTGGCATGCGTGTGGCCCGTGTTCGATCCTCAGCACCACATACAAAACAAAGATGTTGTGTCCGCTGAAAACTGAAAAATAAATATTAAAAAAACTCTCTCTCTCTCTCTCTCTCTCTCTCTCTCTCTCTCTCTCTATCTCTTTTAAAAAAAGTAAATTGTAATTTGACAAAATACAATTTTGAAAGACAAATTATAGGAAAGTTAAACATACAAAGCAATAATCCTTGGATTCTTGTCATTTATCGATTCCAGAAATATACCTCAAAAAAGTCATGGAACAAAGCCCCAGGAGGAAGAGAAAAACAGCAGTTAATAGCAGGAAGAGAAACAGGAAGAAGAAGGGTTAGTTCAAAGACATCAAATGAGCCATGACTTAACAATGAGGGTGGAAAGGGTCCTGTGAGGAACACTCCCCACACCAGACCACACTCCATTCCTAGGATACAACCATTATTAAGAGTATTTTTTCACTTAATTTCCACCGTCATAGTATGTAAGTAGTCATTGTTCTCATCATTAGAGAAAGCAGCCACTTTTGACCCCACACATTTTGGGGAACACACATTTAGGTCACAGCATCTACACAGGAGGTCATCTTTCATGGTTATGATACTATCAGGTTTTTTTCACACTACCTTGGAATCTGCTACTTTATCCAGGTTTAAATCTTCAATGACTTTGTTGATCTTATAATTTTTTTCATGATTTGTCATAGCTGTTAGAAGCCGAGGAGCCACTGAGAACTGTAAGTTTTCTTTCACTGTCAGGGTGGCCATCACAATATCATCCAAAACACATTTTTTTTTTTTTGTTATTTTTTGAAGTTAGAAATCAACATTTTCCTTTTACCAAAAAATGTTTTATTTTCACTTTCCATTAGGAAATTGCCAAACATATTCAAAAATAGACAGAATAATATAATAAACTCCACATCTTCAAAATTCAATTTCAGTAATTATAAACTCATGATCAGTGTTGTCTCATCTATAATTTGAAGCAAATTCCAGACATCATAGTTCATAGTTCTATATGTATATAAAATGTAACCACAATATGATTATCATACCTAAAATTTGTTAGTGATAATATTTAATATCATTTGATTTCCATTCAGTTTTCCCTATTTCATACTTGTTTCTTTACTCTGTAATGATTTTAAATGCTTAATCATAAATCTGCTCCAGGCTGGACTGACTCCTCTCTGGGACTTTGTTTCACTAATCTTCTAAGTTGAGTGTAATTTTCCCTGTACATGTGTCTTCTTCTGTCTCATTTTAATCTCCTCAGTTATAGTTCAGTATATGTAACTTAATCCATTATCTATAAAAATAACATAACCAAGGTAAAGTTCAAGCTAATAGTAAACTCTCAACTATACCAATTGCAGTGACCCACATAAAGATAGCTGCAGAGTCCAAGGAAGTCATTTTCATTCTCAATCTGCACACCGGGTTTGAGCCCAGGTAATCATGCCCACTAGAGCCAGATATAGCCAGGTTGCTTTGTACAAGGATTTGCAAACACATCTTCTAGGGGAAGGAAAAAATGCTAGAAGGGTAAAAAGGATAACTGTGGACCCTTTTGTAAATTATACACAAGCCAGAATTGATACCATTGTCCAATAGGGTCATTTTCCAAGTCCTCATTGCTTTTCCATTTAACTCTGAGATGGAAGATTATGAAAGCTGGTGGAATGAATATTGGTTATGTGAGCATGTCACATAAACAACTAGAAGCACAATAAGCTGTAAGTAAAGAGTATTCTCATACAGATGAAACAAAAAAGGCAAATATACGAATTCTTACCTGAACTACATAACCCAAATTACATTTGAAATTATCAGATTGAGGTGCTCCATTGATCAAAACATCTCCAGATAATCCAGATGCATCTTTCCTTGCAGCTAAGATATTTAGCAACCTATAAAAGGACATGTATGTTACAGATTTCTCTCCTCCATTATAGGCCATATCTCTCATATTCTGCTAAAGTTAGAAAATTTACTACTCCAGAAATCTGAGGTTTAACTAAAATTATTTATATGTGCATGTGTATGTTTAAATTCTCATCATATTTTTTGTTGTTACTGTTGTCGTTGTTACAAGAAAACCCAAAAGTATATAAGCAAAGCCATATTGGCTGATCCAGCACAATCTTCCCAAATGACCTTCTAGCTGTCTGAATTTGGTGGATCCAGCTCAGGCAACGTGCTTCTTTACCAAAAAAAAAAAAAAAAAAAAAAAAAAAAAAAAAAATTCTTGTCTTCAATTATTCCTTCAGCTCCATCTTCCCACTTTTATCATTATTCCCTTTCTCCCCTCTCCATTCACTTCTAATATGGCCAACATCACCATATCAATTATTTAGTTATGCCCTAGTAAAGCTTTAAAAAGTCATCTTTAAAAATCACATAACAACTACACAGGAGTGGTTGAGACATATTTTCTGTTATACTCACAAAGATTTCCCTCGACTTTGGTGTGCCAGAATAGCATTGAGACCAGGTTTCATGATTCCACTGTAAACACAAAAGCATGAAGATTTATTGTTCTACTTTAGATGCAGTACTATTTACTTAGACTCTGCAATGATACACTCAAGGAAGACTGAAAAAATTGCAGACAGAAAACAAGCACCAAATCAAAGAAACTAAACTTAATGGTTAACAGAAGTCTAGTCTACGAAGGATGTTATTATTAGTCAATATTTATAAGAAAGATGGATCAGGTCCCTCTAAATTCCTTTCAATTATTCTTTAAGCCATGATCAATTTTGGATAACTATTCCATTTACAATAACCTCAAAAATAAAATAAAGTACTTGGAATTAAATTAACCAAGGAGGGGAAAGCCTCTACAATGATAACTACAGAATGTTGAATAAAGAAACTGAAGAACTTACAAAATAGAAAGACATCCCATATTCTTGGATAGGCAGAATTAATATTGTCCAAATGGCTATACTACCAAATGCAATAGACATGTTCAATATGTGTAGGTACCTGCATACATATATTCCCTAGGTCTGTCCATTTAGAAGGCACAGAGCAATGACACAAGAATAGCAATGAGTATTCAAATCACCCAGATGGTGTTTTCTCTATACCATTCTTCACAAAAATAAACACTGGAGGATTCCAGGACTGGGAAGGCAAGTATACAATAAATTTGGAACTTCTTGCTTTTCCAAAGAATTAAGAGTGGTGGGATGAGTTAAAAAATAAAAAAAAAAAGGAACCTGTCTTGAAAAATTTCCTACTGACTAAATCAGCAGCAATAGGAGTATGAAGATAAATAATACTAATTAAGCATTACAATTAAGTGTTATTGTATAGAGTACAAATCCATACTAGACACTGTGATGCACTCCTGTAATCTAAAGACTCCTTATGCAGATGCAGGAGGATTGCAAGTTTGAAGCCAGCCTTGAAAACTTAGCAAGATACTGTCTCAAATCAAAATATAAAAGGACTGGGGAAGTAGCTTATTGGTATAGTAACTCTTAGTTCAGTCCCCAGTAAAGGAAATTTAAAAAAATACAATCCATGAGTCTATACAGTAACTGAAAGGACAAATGATGAATGAAGATTTTTCTATTACTGGAATGCAAATTATGAGACAATGAAAATAGAAACTCACCCTTTATCAACTATCATAGTGGTTGCTGATCCACACAGGAGTCACCACAGAGGAATGAAACTCAAGTTTAATGAAGAACAAGATTCTGGAGTAATATCAGAGTATCACCATTCATATTAATCAAGTACAAAGAGGAAAATGGTGATCTGATGGTGAAGTTTGATGGACAGTAACATAACCAGGTGTTCAGTTTTAACATCACCTGGAGTGGGATGGGACTAGAAAGTACCAGGTTGGACAAGACAGGATATGGTAGTTAGTCAATTATGTGAGGAACACAGTGAAGAGTGATCCTCAGGACCTCTCCTGCCTTCACTCTGAGGATATATCATTTCTTGGTAGCTTCCAGAAAACAATTGAGTGATTATACAGGACAGGAATCATCTTTCTAAAAGTAGTACTAAAAGAACTACTTCTTTTAGTAGTGATAAAGGTGTATCATGTGGATAGTGTGCTCTCAAGTGATTCACAAAAACCTGTAGTAACTATGGACACAAATGAGACACAGTGATGCAAGCAAACAGTGCAGTGTGGACAGTTAAGAAATCTGGTGAAAGGGTTATGCACATGCAGCTTTACGTCTCAAATTATCTCAAAATAGATAACCAGACCAATCTACCAAACAGGGTGAAGAATTTTCCTCACAATTATAGGATATCCACACATCTGCTGGAATGGAGAATTTTTTTCATAATATTTTTAGTTGTCAATGGACCTTTATTCTTTACTGATTTATATTTAGTGCTGAGAATTGATCCCAGTGCCTCATGCATGCAAGGCAAGCACTCTAACATTGAGCTATATACTCAGCCCTTTTTAAAAATAATTTTAGCATTGGAAAGAGAAAGCTCAAATGCTAGATATGGATAAAAACTAAGCAAAATAAAATTCTAAGAAAGTAGGGAAAATTAAGGAATTCTCATGATCAATTTTTGCCTTATTGTCTTCTTAAACAATGAACAGAAAAGCAAAAATGCAAAGAAAAACCAAGATTCTCATGACTTTTCTTGAAATATTGTCATCATTTTCAATAATGATAGTGCTATCCAACACAAACAAACAAAAAATAAGATAATGAGAGTGACCCTTCACACACCAGAGACTATTTGAGTCCAGCAGATAAGAGAAAGTTTGGAAACACTGCAGCCAGAAAAATATGACCTTCTCATGAATAAAAAACCAGAAATGTGAATAAGCATGAAAACCAATGTTTGCTATGTTTGTAACAGTAAAAAAAAAATAAAAACTTCAAGACTTACTACATTTTATAAGCCTAACAAAGCACAAAACAAAGGCCTCCTCCTTTGTAGAGATGCACACCACTAAGCCATAAACTCAGTGTGAACTCTTGAATAGAGGAGACCCTTAGTATATTGAGTCAGTAGTCTACCAGGTAAAAAAAAAAGATAAGCAAGATGAATTGGGAGTGTAGCTCAGGGGAAGAATGATGACCCAGGGAGCACAAAGCCCTGGGTAAAGTCTGTAATCCACACTCCTCCATGCTCCAACAAATAAAAAAAAAAGGGTGGGAGGGCTAAAGTGAAGGGCAAGGTAAATATACATTCCCACAGTATGTTTGAACATCTATTCAAATTGCATGTGGTCAATCACATTACTTTCTACAAAAAATCTTGTCAGCATTTCACAAGTCAATTTTAATGAGTCAATTTTCATGAGTCAATTTTAATTCATTAAATGGAATCATTTTACTCCAAGTTTAGTCAAAAGGGATGAAAGCATGTGTCTATACACCAGCACAAAGACTGAAACACAAATGCTCACAGTAACTTATTGGTATTAGGCAAAGCCTGTGAAGCCTGTGATATGTCATTAAAGTGGTCTTTTAAAAAGTACTTATACATACTTGATATTTTATAATAAATTTTTTCTCAACTGATTTCCTACAAAATAGAAAGCCACTCTTCACTTTTTCCCAATAGCAGATGTTATGGAAACTTAACACAGCCCCTTCAGAAAATGTCTTCAGGTCACTGGAGGTCATCTCAGGGAGGTCATTGTTGTTTCTTTGTAAAAATGGGATATAATCCTGGTCATTACTGGAAGACATCTTGACATATTCTGCCTTTCTGTAGAGGGGGAAACAATGGAAGTTGATAGTCCATATAAATGTGATTTTAAACCCTTGCTAATATATTTAAATCAATTCTGTTTTAAAGTGTGCTGCACTAGATTACTTTCTAATAGTCAGCCCACATCACTATGATGAGAACAATCTTTGAATCCATAATGGGAGGAAAAACAACTTTGAATCCTCAATTAGATGAAACACTCAAAATTAGATGCCAAATAATTTCCAGATAATTAAAGAGTACCCAAAACTCATAATGGAGGGAAAAGACAGGTGAGCATTTTATGTGCCTGGCATAGTACTTGAAAACATAGTATGACACAACGTACATTGAGGGATAGCCTACACCATCATCATGTGCCACATTTTTTTTAACTTATAACATTGTTATTATGAATACAAGCTTAGTCAAGCAGTCAAGCACAGGAGAAACCTCTCTGAATTTATAATTCTAGACTTTATATATATCTGGTTGTTATGCAACTTCAATCATCTGAGAAAGTAAACTTCATCATAATTTTTCACAATGGCAAATCATTTCCTTAATGGTCATTTAAATTCTAGCAAAATTTTAAATTAACTATGAAAATTATTAAGTAAACCAAGCCAATAGTTAAGAAGCTCCATACTTTAAAGCAAAAACTGAATATTACATTCATAAAGTAGATTTAAAACATTTCACTAAATAACTTGCAAAGGCCCATTAAAATATTTAATTAGAGTAAGACATTAATGTGAACTGGTCTTGTGCAAGAGTTTTGAAATGTTACCTGCAACAAACCTAGCTTTGTTTTTGAAAAGCCAATGTCATCCATGAAGAAATTTCTCTCTGCCCCTAATTTTTTCAAAAATAACAAAATTCTAAAAAAGAAATGAGTAGGAAAGTGAGGTAGCACACTCAGTCCTTAAGACTATGGGGTCAGCAAACATCAGGAAACAGAAGACTGAGAAAAGCAAAGTTATAAAGCTAACTATCAGTGATGCACAGGCATACATATCAATATTGTACTTTCCTCTAACACAGTGCTAAGGGCTTTCCCAAATTATAGAGGAGAAAGGCATGTGGAAACTAGTCACTGGAATAAACCACAATAACCCTTTCTTTACTAGCATATTAAAATTATATCACAGAACAGAGACCTAATATGATAATGAGACAGGTAGCCCATGAAGACTACTTCTTCTATGATGAAAAGAGCCCAGGTGGGCTCTAAGACTGCATCTCTATATGAAATGACATCACTGAGTTTCTGCCTGCCTGTATATGCAATTAAACACACACACACACACACAAACAACAACAACAACAACAAACTGTGTATTTCTCTTTCTTATTGAATGACTGTTAATCCCATTCCCTCCTGCTGCCTTCCCCATATTAGAGCTTAAGAATCAAAGCCTTGTTCCTGCCAAATAGTATTCCTGCCTGATTTTACTTTGGGGGAACACAGGAACCTGCAGTACTGGTAACAAAAATGGTGTGTACTTCAGTTTGAAAATATTAAATGTGCAAAATTAGAAAGTGTGGGAAAAATCTAAAAGAAAATGCTCCTAATGCTTTCTATTAGCTAAATTAATCCATTTCTTGAAGCAAAACAAAAGACATTCATCCAAAGGATTAAATCTGATCTCTAAAGATAATTAACATTATTTTTAATCAAAACATAACATCTTCATTCCTGAAGTGAGTTTCATTTTTTTGTATTCCAAATTTCCAATAGCAATGGTAGATAAAGAAAAAAAGAAGACAAAACAAGAACAATTTCAATACCTATAACCTTTCCAGGAATTCCCACCCTTAGGCCTTTCCTAGAAAAGTCCCAAAGATTCCTAAGCATGTATGCCAGTATTTAGATTATGATTCCATTTAGCATTAAAATGGTCTTCAAGTTCAGTCATAGAGTACGAACTTTTGCCCTATCTTTCTCTTTGCTCTTGCCTGTCTCCTCTGTTTAAAGTAAATAAAAGAATAATATTAACAGAAATATCTCCTTTAGCTTTTTATTGCAAAACCACAGTTTCTAAAAATTATGTTTGTATTTGAAAATTAACTGCATTTGAAAATTGAATTTTCACTTAATATCATAATATCTAGTTATTTCAGCCCTTTGGATCTCCTCACACCCTAATCCTCAAAGATCCATATAGAATAAAAGTCTAATGAACCACAACTACTATGAATACAATGAACCACAACTACTAGAGTCACTAGCAAGAAGTCAGGAGCAATCTCCTTAAGAATTAGATGAACTTCTCTAGGGATGATAGATTATTGTAGTGTTTTTCTTCCTAGGTATGGAAGCTCATCCCATGGAAAATCAATGTTTAAGAGATGGTTTTATTCAGAGTTCAAAAAATGAAGAAGGGGAATATTTACTCACAAAACAGTTTCTCGACTCTAGAGGTTACAAATATAGGATAAAAATAATGAGGAAGGGGGACAGGTTACTAAAAACGAGGAATATCCATATATTTTCTGGGAATAGGAAAGATCTTCAACAAACTCAAATCCCACCTCTTTTCACTCTTTTTATGAAACCCCAAGGGAAAGTCATTGTTAGAGATCAAGGCCATCTGTGGAGCCAAAATTCCTCTAGATGTCTTTGGTTACTTGTTCTTTGTGATCATGCTGGAAAGATTTCAGAGGAGTTGCTCAGAGTAGCTCAGGCATGAGTTTATTAGAAGAGACAGGAAAAAAGGAGACAATGGATCTTCTCAAAGAAGAGAGGGAAGGTGCAGCCCTCCTGACCTCTAGTTTTATTGGGGATCCAGGGAAGTTTCCAGAGTTACACCAGGTCCACCTCTTGACTTCTTAATGATAGAAGGATTGCATTAGACTATCAAGTCACCACTGCAAATGGTCTTTTGCCATGAGGGGACATTTTAATATTATAACAATATGTTAAAAATTCAAAGCAACTCTGAGTTACTTTGGCCCATGCTGACCAGTTTTAATTAGAACTTGTTCTTACAAATTTTATTGATAGTGTGCTTTGCTTTTAATTTCTCTGTCTCTCTCTCTTTCTTTTTCTTTAAGAAGTGTAATTTAAGATCACATTTTATTTTTTTTTAATTTATTTATTCTTTTTATATAAACATAGCAAAGAATGTACTTTGGCATATTATACATCCAGGGACTATAACTTATTCTAATTAGGATCCTATGCTTGAGGTTGAACATGATGTGGAGTTACCCTTGTCGTGTATTCAAATAAAAGGCTAAGAAACTAGGTCTCATTAATTCTACTGTCCTTGATATTTCCCTCCCTACTCCCTTCCCTTCATTCTCCATTGTCTAATCAATGGATTTCAATTCTTCCCTTCCCCATTCTCCCTTGTTGTGGATTAGCATCCACATATCAGAGAAAACATTTGGCCTTGGGTTTGGGGAGATTGGCTTATTTAACTTAGTATGATATTCTCCAGTTCCATCCACTTACCTGCAAATGCCAAAATTTCATTCTGCTTTATGGCTGTGTAATATTCCATTATTCTGTCTCATTGAGTCCTGGAATCTGCCCTGTATAAAAGTCACAACATCCCTCCTTCAGAGAACTTGTGTTCTTTTTATTAGCAGGAAGGAGTCTTTGGCCCTGCATTTCTCCAGCAGATAAAATGTTGTTTACTGACGAATCTTAGGCCAGACAGAGCTTCAGATAAAATGCTTTTAAAAAGAAAGCACGTGGGGGTCAGCACAGTTTATAGACTTGCCCCCTGAAACCCATGTTTCCACCACTCATATCTGTTATCCGTCATCATCACCCTTTCTCTTTTCCTTTCCCAAGGTTGGCCTCACCAATCTGGCACTGTAACAAGATGACCAACAGCAGAGAGGGGTGATTGGTGATTAGAAATTTGTAGAATCAGGAGATCCAAGGGGAAAACAAGAGGAATAGGCTAAGATCAAGCTGAATACTTGAATTAGAATTTACCAGAAGCTTTACATCACTGGATCTAAAACCCAGTCTTTCTGAAATAGAGAGCTCCTGGTTTCACATGAGAATAAAAAGTCACACAGGCTGAAGATAGATGTCAAGAAAATTAAAACTGACATATTCTCTGGTTAAACACAGCCTAGTTATACTTATATTGTTTACCTATCTTTTCTATAACCGTTAACCTCTTTTTGGCACCAGCAGAAAAGCAATATAGCTACTTCTTCACAGTTTGATCAAAGTGCATAAAATACATTTTTTTCTTTTTACATCACTTGCCTTTTATAAAAGAGTAAGCAGCCTAATCTGATCTGCAAGGATTATGTGTGTATCATTATGTATGCAGGACTAGAATTGCTAGTATCAAAAACATCACTGCTCTTAGGACTAAAATAAATATGGATTTAAATTTTAACTGAGTTCATTTATCAGTGTGTATTCAGTCAGCAGATACTGAAATTAAAACTAAAATAGAGGTAGTATCCCAAATGTTTTGGATATTAAGGGGTATTTTGAGCATGCAAGAAAAGCGTGAAAGCCAAAAACTATTGCCTAAAACCTTTATTTCTGGAATGAGGATGCAGACTCACAGACTTGCCCCAACATGTCAGAGAGGGAGTAGATATCATAATTCATTTGAGAATATTTTAAACATCTCAAGAACAGGATGTTTTTTTATATCTTCCCTTCACATACAGTCAATTATTAGTCAGGATGAAGTTTAATCAAGCTAATAAGCTACTAAAATGTTCTGGGCTTCTTACCAGTGACAAATAAACAGCTCATGTGTACACTGATTGTTCTTACAAGTCATCATTTGAGATAAGCTGGGAAATTTTAAAAATTCCTAAGAGCTAGAAAATTGATCTCCTTACCCTTAAAAGGCTGAATCCAAATTGCCAACTACAATCAGGACATAAGTAGTGTGTAAAATTTAAGGTAATACCAGCCAGAGCTTCATGTAAATTGCTTTTAAAACAAAAGCATGTGGGGGTCAGCACAGTTTATAGAATTGCCCCCTGAACCCCATGTTTCTACCACTCA